ACTAGATTTTTGGGATCCTATTCACTTTGGATGAATACTTTGCTCGTCCTGGATGAAGTTGGGAGGGCCTTGGACTCACCACAGGGCAGGGTGCCTTGCCCTCTCTTAAGACTAGAGGGGGGTTGGAGGGAGGGTGTTGGGGGGAATGGGAGGGAAGTAAGAGGAGGGGAGGAAGTGTGGGAATATTTATTGGTATTATTTTTAAAGTACAAAAAATAACTTGAAACACAAAACAATATTCTCAAATGTAGGGAATTACATCTAAGAATTTAGACTTCTGTAGCAAGAAGGCTGGAATTGGGGAAATACAAAGGATAGACTCAGAAATAGGAAAGTAGTAGAATATTTAGCTGCATAAAAGGAATATCTGTGGTTCTCTGCTTAATATCTCTTATTATTGCTTTATGGTTTACAGTCTACACAGTGTCTTGTATGGCTGTATCAACAAACTGCGAAAGAGGAAATAGTAACCACTGTTGCCTTTAATTGGAATTCATATATTAAAAATCAGGAAAACAATCATTATCATTTTATCTCAGGCTAAGAATCATTGAATTAAGAAATTTGAGTTCTTACAAAGTATGAGATTGCTTGTTTTGATTGGCAAATTCAATACCATTGAGAAACACTGTGCCATTCTGACATTGCTAATATACCACTGCATGCAACTAGGTGGTGATGATACATATATCAGAAAACCTTTATACTTATCATCAACTAATTATCATCAGTATTAAATATAACATTCTAATATCCTGTGTAAGATTCTTAAAGGCTAAACCTTAAAAGGGTGGTTTATGTTATTTTATCAGATGATGAAAGGGAAAGGACAGATTTCCACATAGCCCTGAGAGTCTGTCAAGGTGCTGGTATTAGATTCCATAGCCATGCACACAGATTATTTACATGAACACATGTTATACAATAGAGAGTAAACACATGTACTAAGGATAGAGTATTGATTGGAGGGGAATTCTTGTGATTGTTGTGAAAGAAATGTAGTCAATAGTTTAATATGTATTTTTCACACGTTAATAATGAAGAGAATATGAGTATGAATTGGCTCTTTGAAACCACAGTTAATGCCAAATGCATGCAGACATGTGTGGAGCCACAAAGAAAATCTTAAAAGCAAATAGGCAATTGTTGAATATATATATATATATATATATATATATATATATATATATATATATAATTGAATATTTCTTTCTAAAATTAATACCTCACATTAATTTTTAATTCTCATGACATTGTTATATACAGCTTGAAAATTGGAGATATTCAGAGCATGGCTTGAAAGTCCTTTGTTTTTTCTCACAAGAAAAGAATCTCATTTCTGGAACACACAAACATGTATGTGTGTGAGGTACAAATATATATACATATATACACTCATTTTTAAAAAAAAATTCAAGAGACCCTGAATGTTTAAATACTGATGGATGTAAACTATTTACAACCCAATAAGGATCATCAGGAAAACTAAATAGTTCCATAAGTGGAATTATTCTAAACATATTTTAAATATGTTTTGATGTACATTTATTTATAAATATATAGAACTGGTTTTGAAGTTGAACTCTGGCTCAGTCCCTCTCCAATTCCAAGTCCATCATAAAAGAAATCCCAGGGTTTCTGTCTCATGTCAATAGCCATGATATGGGACAAAATAATAATAATAATAATAATAATAATAATAATAATAATAATTTATAAACTTTCTTTTCCTTTCCTCATATCTGTTTCTGTATTTATAATACCTTGCATTGAATATATATGTCTATATAGATGATATTTAAGTTTCCCATAAGAAACAATAAATTTTCCTGCAGGAATCTTTGAAGTTTCCAGGAAGAGGATGGGGCCCCACAACATCGGCTCCACCTGGTTAAAATGACTTCATGATGCTGATAGCACTACTACAAGACCTGTTTTTTGGTACTAGCTGCACAAGATGGTTCCAACTTGGGTAGCGAAAATGGTGCACATCTTTTACAACATTCTGGCCAGATCTCTACAAAACACTCAGACTATTTGCAATTTTACCAGAACAAATATTGATCTTGTAATTTAACCATCATTTACTTTCACAGGAACCCCTAGGAAGAACGTCTCCCCATGAGAGCTGGAAGCAATTTTAGAGGAAAATGTCCCCTCTCCAAGCAGAGTTTGCCCTTAGGTTTAGGGACATCATTTAGGGGTTGGTTATAATTGGTATGTGGTTGACGGATGGGGCAGGTATTTTATAGGCTCAGGGTTGTTCTTGAAAAAAAAGGGGAATAATTGGTGATGGGATAATAGATTGGTATTTGTGAGTTATTGTTTTTAGACAATTATATTGGTATAGATTTTTGTATATTGATATAAAGTTAAATTATATTGAATATGTATGTGAGTTTGCTTCTACCTCTGTTTAAAACATTTATATATATATATATATATATATATATATATATATTGTATTGATATATCTATTTACCATATTGCAGTGTACATTTCTACCTCTGATTAAGATACTTATATATTGTTCATATAATGATATACATTGTTTACATTTGGAGGTCATTGTCCTAATTTATTGCACAGTTGAAATAGACCTGTAAGTCACGAGAAATTGGAAGCTGTCATCAGAAACCTCCCTACCAAAAAAAGCCCTGGACCAGATGGTTTCAATGCAGAATTCTACCAGAACTTCCAAGAAAAGCTAATACTTATACTCCTCAGTGTGTTTTACAAAATAGGAATAGAAGAGTCATTGTCAAACTCCTTTTAGGAAGCTACAGTCACCCTGATACCAAAACCACACAAAGACTTAACCAAGAAAGAGAATTACAGACCAATCTCACTCATGAACATTGATGGAAAAATTCTCAATAAAATACTAGCAAACCGAATCCAAAAACACATTCAAAAAATTATACATTATGATCAAGTAGGCTTCATCCCAGAGAGGCAGGGCTGGTTCAACATACAAGCTGGGTGGTGGTGGCACACGCCTTTAATCCCAGCACTCGGGAGACAGAGGCAGGCAGATCTCTGTGAGTTCGAGGCCAGCCTGGTCTACAAAGGGAGTTCCAGGACGGGCTCCAAAGCTACAGAGAAACCCTATCTCGAAAAACCAAAAATAAATAAATAAATAAATAAAATAAAATAAAATAAAAATAAAATCTATCAATGTAATCCATCATATAAATAAACTGAAGGAAAAAAAAACATATGATCATTTCTTTAGATGCTGAAAAAGCATTTGACAAAATTCAGTACCCCTTTTTGATAAAGGTCTTGGAGAGACTAGGGATACAAGGTTCAATCCTAAATATAATAAAAGCAATATACATCAAGCCGACAGCTAACATTAAATTAAATGGAGAGAAACTCAAAGCCATCCCACTAAAATCAGGAACAAGACAAGGCTGTCCACTCTCTCCATACCTCTTCAATATATTCTCTTAGTCTTTAAGTTAGATAGGTATTGAGAATTATAGATCAATAGTCATCTATGTTTGTCATACTTATATTTAGGCTAATCATGTTCTTTAGATACGTAGAGATTATATTAAGTATAGATAGTATATTTTTCAACCTCTTCAAAGAGCTGTAGAAAATGGCCTTTAATCAAGCCTAGAGTTCTGTGGTAGTGAGACACAATCACTCCTGGCAACACCGCTCTACACCCAAGAGAATGTTGAGCACCAAAGACACTCCACCTGGAGCCTTTCTTCTTGGCGGAACTGGCCTTTGGGCAAAGAAATGCCCATACATCAACCACTGACAGTGATACAGAGTATCCATAAATGGATAAAACAGAACTGTCATATCCTGCCAAGCCAGGGTAAGACAGTTTTGAAAAGTTTCTTGCTTTTGAAAATGGTATGTCAGTTACCTTAGGCCTTAGCCAAAGTTTGTTGCCTCAATATTGCAAATGAGACTTTGGGTGATTGCCCAGGTAGTCAGTTGTCTTTGTCATTTGATGCACATTTTGATAGTTTCTCGATTGTACTTCCTGTTTACTCAAGTAACATTACTTCCCTTCTCAGATCTTTGGTGGAGTTGAAGATTAGATAATTGTAGTTGCCCTCCTCATGGTTTAGCTAAACTCAATTTTTTATACATTATTAAGACTCCTTAAAATAAAATGTCCAGTAAAACTTTTGTTATGTGTTTCTTGCTTAATATTGTTTATTGCTTGTAATGTTATATTTGGTATCTATTCCTATTGTATATAGTTGTATTGGATTTGGTTCGATCTTGTTTAGACAAAAGGGTGAGATGATGGGGAAGCTCAGCCAATCACATCTTGCTTGGGTGTGGAGACCTGGTCCCCAGGGAAGAAAACCTGGAGATCTAGGTGCACTCGCTCTCTGAGCTAGGTGTTCGCCTGACCCATTTGGACATTGGAACTTTTTCTCTGTTTATGTCAGTTTCCCCTGTTTTCAATTATTAAATTATATCTGTTGTTTTGAGCTGGTCTGGTTATTTTTAGCATACCGGTCGAATATGCCTTCATATACATATCTATAAAAATATGTATACATGTATAGACAGAGAGAATATATATATATATATATATATATATATATATATATATATATATAAAGCTAACATTCAAGCATTTAATCATTGCAGTTGGGGAATTTGACATGGCAAATTAGAAAATGAGACAAGCAGTTATTTGTAGCCCAGAATCACAAAAAGGCAGATTTTACTTTCAGGTAGATAGACAGGTACTATGCCCCAGCAACCGATACAGGATGAATTGCTATTTGCCACAAGTTGTTTTTTTTTTTTTCCATTTATCAATTTGAGTCAGAGCACAGGAAAAATGACAATTTTTCCTCTCTTTCCCTTTCAATTTCCCTTCTTCTGCTGCAGCATGCACTTGGGTGGGAGGGGAAAAAATCAATAAACATCTAAAACAGAGATCTCCAAGGTTACCCCAGAATTTGCCTTCGTTGCTGAATTTGAAATTGCTCTATTCATTAGTCCTTATTTTCTGCTCACTTTGAATGCACACACTCCTTCACTTAGTGCCCAGGAGTGCTAATAAAAGCGTCAGCAGTGTGGGTTCTCTCCAGCCGGGCTCTGGGTTTAGTTCAGGTCTCACAGTAGGTGAACAAAAGCCCAGCTGTACAATTGCCCAGACTAGGCAGACTGCTCCTCAGTTTTGCAGGAGTCGGAGCTGTGGAAAGCAGCAAAGGCAGGGATTGTTTGATTCCCAGCATTGTACCTCCGAGGAACCTGATCCTGTGTTCTATGCAGCAAGTAGGATCCTGCTACAGAAGGTACTGCTTCTCTTTCAAGATGTGAGTTTTTTCTAAATTTCTATATTTTTACATTAATATTAAACTGTATATTTTAAGAGCATGATGTGGCTCTGTAAAATTAAAATTGATGTCAAATGCATGCATACATTGTGGAACCACAAATAATATTATATGAACAAAAGAGCAATTTCTTCGAATATACAAGTCTTATGACTATTTCCTTTTAAAAGTAATGCCTTAGATTATTGCATAATCATCAGGACACTATTACATATAGTATGCAAATTGGGGACGTTCAGAGAATGGGCAAAAATAACATTTCGACTTACAAACAAGCATGTAATTTCAGGCACTGAAATATATTGAATAAATGGTTAAATTTAAGCTGAAATTAAAGCATTTAAATATTATATGTGAACTCTGATACAGCATATCATAAAATGACAGAAACAAAACCAATTGGCAGCAAAGATTTATAATCACCCTCCTACAGGCAGAAATTTAAGCTTTTGAGTATATAGCCAGGATGCAGATGCTGGTAGACAAATATAGGATCACTCCATACTTGTCACGGATGTTTCGTTTCATTTTGTTTTGTTTGTTGTTGTTTTGTTTGTTGATATATGAGACCTTACCTAGGGAATTCACATTTTTCCCTCATATAAAATTTCAATTGCTCAGCTTCAGCTGCAAAATACTTTCAGGTTGGCACAAGAATGAATCAGCAACTCAGATGGAAATCTCAAAGATTACCACAGTAATTGCCCTCTTTGCTAGAATTGAGATCAGTCTCCTTATTGGTCCTTAAACCATGCTCAATTTGAATGCCCAAAATCCTTCAATCAGAGCCCAGGAGTGCTTATAAAAAGCGTCAGCAGTGCAGCTTCTTTCCAGTGGGGCTCTGGCTATAGTCCAGGTCTCAGTAGGACCTGGGCTATAGACAGAGCCCCACTGATCAAGCACCCAGACTGGGCAGAATGCTGCTCACATATTCAGGATAGCAGGTAAAATCCAGCAAGGCAGGGATTGCTTGTTTTCCAGCATTATAGCTCCATATCACCTGATCCTGAGTCCTATGCAGCAAGTACGATCCTGCTTATTAAGATACTGCTTCTATTTTAAGATGTGAAGATTTTTATTAATTTCAATACTCTCATAAATATTAAACAGAATATTTTTCTAATGTGATGTTGCTAGGTAAAATTGAAATTAATGACAAATGCCTGCAGACATTTGTGAAACCACATATAAAATCTTATGAACTAATGTGTAATTTCTGAACCTATAAAAATATTATGAATACTTCCTTCTGAAATGAATGACTCAAGTTATTGCTTGATCAGTGGACACTGTTGGATATAATATACAGTTTGGAGATGTTCAGAGAAGGGATGAATGTAACCTTTTCACTTATAATGGAAGCATGTTATTTCAGGCTCTCACATATATTAGATATTAGATGAAGTTTAGGCATTTAAACACTGTATTGTGGAATCTGACATGGCACTACAGAAAATGACAGCACAAAGAAACAATTTGCAATAAAGATTCATAATAACCCACCTTCTGGCAGAGATAGAAGCTTTCATGTAGATAGCCAGGTTGTAGGCCCTGATAGATGGATATAGGATCTTCCCCTACTTGTGACATTTTTTTCTCTTGATAATTGAATTCAGTTCCCAGGGAAAATTACATTTTTCTCTCACATCCATATTCAGTTTCCCCACATCCGCTGCAGCACACAGTCATGTGGGAGACAGGAATGAATCAGCATCTGTGAATGATATTGCTAGGTTACCACAGAATTTGCGTCAGTTGCTGGAATTGACATCACTCTCCTTATTGGTTCCTTTTTCCTGCTCAATTTGAATGCACACTCTCTTTCAATCAGAGCCCAGGAACACTAATAAAAGTGTCAGCAGTGCGGGTTCTTGCCAGTCAGGCTCTGGTTATATCCAGGTCTCAGTTGGACCTGGATATAACCAGAGCCTGACTGTCCAATTGCCCAGACTAGACAGACTGCTTCACTTGTCTGTGAAGGCAGAGTCTGTGAAAATCAACAAATTCAAAGATTTTATGATTTCTAACCTTATAGCCCAGAGTCATCTGCTCCTGTCTCCTCTGCAAGAATTAGCAACATGCTTCTGAAGCTAATGCTTCTCTACTAAGATGTGAACCTCCTGTCTTTGTCTTGAAATGTTGCATCCCTGTAAGAAAGAAATTCCAATTCAGACATTAGTATCTGACATACACTAGGAGAGCCAGGCTCCTTTCTGCCCCCTGGGAGATCCAGTGTGTGAATTGTTCTAACATTGTCAGTGTTCATCAGCCACCCTTATACTCTATGAAAATATCAAGTATTAACCTTTGCAGATGCTGCCATTTCTATCATCAAAGTCATGGGTATACATTGAAATATAGTACAGAAAATTTACTTGTTATGGCCATGTTGCCCCTTATGGTTACAGGTTCAAATCTCCAATGTCGATTTTTATTTCTTGTGTACTTTGCCTATATGTATTTATTACAAAGTTAGAGCAGGTATAATAGTTTGATGCCAAGGTATTCATCCAGCTCTCAGACAACAAATGATGAAAGTGGGGAATGCAAAGGATAGCATCAGAAAGAGAGGAACGTTGCAGAATGCTTAGTTATATAAAACCAACACCTCTGGGGTCTCTGTACAGCAATATCACCAACATTAATTTTCCCTTTCTGACTTTTCTATGGGCATGTCTGATTGACATTTCTTGGTTGATAATTGATGTTGCTAGGTAATTCCAATGTGCAAAGTCAAAGCATTGGAGAGATGTTTAGGAGATTCAGATAAAGTCAAAATATAAGGTGGAAGTATTATTATGCTATCTGCTTTTGTCCTTGCCTCCAGATACATGAATTGTCACCCAAATTGAATTTACATGATGATGGCCTCTATATTGTAAAAATAATTAATTCTACTGCTCACAACTTTTTGTAGGTCAGTGTCTTATCATAGCAGTAGAAAATATGCATGAAAATTAATGAAAGAAAAATACAGGGAGAGAATAAGTATGCAAGACTCAAATGCCAAAGACTTTGCTGAGAGTGCCTTGGCCTGTCTTTTGAAAATGGTTTTAAGTAAATGTAGAAGGTTCCAGAAGTCAAATTGTAACTAGTAGATGCTGGTCAATGTGTGTTTCTTCTTGAAGACATGTGATAAAAGAAGTATCTCAGACGTTCTATTTCATCTTTCCCTAGAAAACTATGCCAGAAGTCACGGCTGAGTAACCTAAATTGCTTCATAGGCATCTTCATGTAAGTTGCAGGAATCAGAGACCTAGAAGCAGTCCAGTTTACTGTACTGCTCTTCCTTTATAACCATTTACATATAATTAAATGCATTCTCAGTCAACGTAAAAACAATAAGAATTCATCATATCATTAACATAGTTATTGTGATTGTCTGATTTTGCTTTAATCCACCAACCACTAGATAGGGATCAAATCAAGTTTTTTTTCTGTAATGAAATCTTTGAAATGTTTTTTTTTTCTAAAGAAGTTTATATTTCTGATCCATCTTGGTTCTACATATAAAATTTGACAGATTTTAAACAAAATATTTTAGTCTACTTATGTCACTATACTTTTAGATATAGATAATGTGTTAGGTAGAATGTAGTCATAATGTAAATATGCTTAGATATTCCAATAAATACTTAAGATCCTTCTCTTAGTCATTATAAATACATCATTCATATTATAGCTTACACTGGCACTTTCAGAGCTTACAAATGAAATTCCACAAGGACTTTATGTGACTTTTTAATATGTCTTGTCATTACCAAAAAGTTCTTTCTTAATGTCTCTCCAGAAAAATGCAGACAATATATAAAATAGTCATTGGTTCTTACATATACATATATGTACATAACTACTCTATGCTATGTACATTAATTGTTATATGTTTATGTATGTGTGTACACGTGTGTATGTTTGCATTTTTGTTTGTATAGCAATGATCTCTTTGTGATGTGTGTATATGTTTGTTTTTGTGTGTTTGTATGTGTGCATGTGTTTGTTCAGGAAAAACCACTTAGTATTAAATAATCTCTCAGAGGGCTTCTCCAGAGAAAACTGACTCTTACTCATATGCTATTCTTTAATTGTTTCTTGGTCTGGCCTCATGAGAAGTTTTCTATAAGCATCAGTATAATAATTATGTGTTAATCATGCTAATTTTATTTAGATATACATGATGTTGAGATCTCATGTGTGTGGCTTCCCTATCTTATATAAAAGATGCTTTCCTTGTCACAGATATTCTGCTTCTCTGTATCTTATTTTTTTTTTCTGCTACTTTTTATATTGATCTCTGACATTTGGCTATGTAGTAAATTTCAAGAATATTAATTGTGGTTTGACATGCTATAATCTCTTATTATTTTTATTTTGACAGGCTTTATAATTCTGTAATGGTCTCTGTTTGTTGCAAAATGAAGCTTCTCTCCTAAAAGTAAGTTCTAAACTTTGCTCTCTATATAAGTATTGAAATTTTAAATAGAGATAGAAATTCTACTATGTCAGCAAATAGGTGGAAAAAGGTTCTTCTCCAAGTCAAAAATTTCACCAGCCATGGGTAAATATCTAGGTTTAAATATAAGGCACAACATCTTTTACCAGTCGTGACGTATGTCTATATCATTCAACAAAGATATTGTGAAAAATTCAGATGTGACTTTGAGCTTCTTTTCACTAATACCCTTTTAAGGTCAAAGACAGGGAAAATTTTAACATTTGAAATAGATAGCAAAACATGAAGCTTACCTAGAATTTTTGTGGAAGTGTTAGCAGAATTAAATTAACATAGTATGGTCATATAGAGGAGACATAAAAGAGACTCCATACTATATTAGTAATTTAAGAAATTCTTAAATCAAGGTCACTGGAAAGTAGGTGAGCAAAATTAAGAATTTTAACTGAAGCTTGTGAAAGAATATATAGAGGAGATTTATGTCCTACTCTTGTTCCATTTGGTGTGAAATCAAATGAGGATAGTACATATATTTGCCAGTTTTCAGAAAATTCACCTAGTATTCATAAAACAAAATTTGAAAGTGGAAGAACATAGAGAACAGCATCAGAATAAAAAGGAGAATAAAATAAATGGTTCTACACTTTGGGGAGCAGTGTGGTCCTTAAGATATATTCATTGTGTTATTTTGTTTTTAAATTCATGATATTCATTGAGAAGTATGTAGATAGAGACTGCCCTCTCATTTTCCAGGCATCCAAACCCGAATAATCATACAGAGACTATATTAATTGCAGCACTGTTTGGTTAATAGCTTAGGTGTATTTCTAGTTAGCTGTTATATCTTAAATTAACCCATTTCTAACTGTGTATCACCATGAGGCTGTGGCTTACCAAGCAATGTTTCAGTGTTTGTCTTATTCAGTAGCTGCATGACTCTGTCTACTTTCTCCCTATCTCTTCCAGCCTGACTATATTCTGTCCTGCTATAAGCCAAAGCAGCTCTATTCATTAATCAATAAAAGCAACACATATACAGAAGGACATCCCCCATTATCTCCCCTTTTCTGTCTAATTAAAAAGGATAATTTTAACTTTAACATAGTAAAATTACCTATACAAAACAATTATCAAGAAAGCATTATAGTTACAATATTTAGTCCATTTACATTTGGCATATTAAAGAAAATACTTTATTATTGATCCAATCTTAGGTGAGTCTAAGGTTTTATATCTAATTTATATTTTATAATAACTAAGTAAAACTATAGCTATCTGTCATCAACTCTTCAAAGACCTCAGAAGTATAATATTTAGTAAGTAAACAAGAAGTTCATTGTAAGCAGCTTCCAAAACACTAGAATTAACAGAGACATCTTGCTGCCTGAACAGTCACCCAAATGTCTTCTATAACGTTGGAGCATCCACCTTAGCCTACAGGTACATAGTATCCAAAAGACTCTTCCATGAAGCATCAAATTTGAAGATCTGTTTTGCCTTGTACTTACAAAGTTCATCAGTTTTATTCTTCTGTGTCCTGCAGAATGTCTGGCAGTTTCTTCTATGAAGCAAGAACACTGAAGGATCATTCATCTTTTAGTAAGTTCAGCAGTCACTTATCTGTGGGTCTTGCAAATCCAGTTTATATAGCATAAAATGAAGTAGTCCAGGCAAGAACAATCTCTTGCCCAAATAACTAGTTTTACTAAATTTAATGCAAATTCCATAACGGGTTTCTTCAATGTCCCTCATTCTCTCTTAAGTAATTGCTGCTATCAGAATCAGACATTTCTGACTTTTGAGAAAAATCTAAGTTCTTAAAAGATTTTAAATGCCATACTCTTTAAGACTTTGAAGTGTTGAAGATTATCTAACTAACTGAAATATATCTCTGTATATCTAAAAAATCTAAGTAATATGACTGCATTTTGACTATTATAGATAATATATCTATTATCCGTTAATCTGTATTTCTTAATTATATATTACATATTTAAATGAGCTACACACACATAATAGCTTAATCAAGAGCAAAAGATACATATACCTAGTGTAGCAAAGTCAATCTTAAATCTGTATCAATAGACCAAGATCCAGAGCAATGCAAAGTATTCATATCTATATAATCTTATTTATATTTTAGAAATTGGCTGTGACTATTAATTACTTATAATCAGCCCAATTTAAATGAAAATAAACATTTACAAATAGTCATTTTGGAAATTTGGGCTTTTCTCCCAAAACTGCTTCCTGCTTTTTTTTTAAGCAAAATATTTTTAGGGATTCATGGAGACCTTTCACAGGGCATTGTTGTATCAAACCACATTAGGCTGGAAGGAATTCACAGGTTCTCATCTTCTGTAGAAATAAAAGCAGAACCTCTTTTCCAAAGTAACGTATCTTTAGACTCAAATTTTAAAGTCAAGATACCTTTATGCTGGTTTAACTTAGCAGCCCCCAGAGTAAAATGTCTCTCTACAGTCAAAAGATTCAAAGAAAGCACATTAATATGCTTACTAATGACTCTCTGTGTAACCTCATGTTTCTATGGCTTATTTTTCTTTACTCCTTTAATCTATAACTGTCTGTACTCTTTTATATTACTTTTACTGACCCTTTAAAGACTTTGCTCTATTTTTTAAAACTATTTTATTTCTTTTTACAACTGTTTGTACTTTTTCTTCTCTCTCTCAAAACTATGTACATTGATCCAACACTGATCCATTCTAAGGTCTTTTTTAATCTGACTCTCTCTTTACTACATATCTATAATCATTTTCTGACCAGGAGCACTTTTTAAAATGTTAATTTGGCACAGGTATGACCAACTCCATGGCCCTGCCTGCTTTCTCTGCCCAGTACGACATGGTGGAGATATGATCACCACTAGCTCTGCTGGCCATGATCACCTCCTCAGCTCTAGGAACAGAGCAGGTCTATGTTGCCATTAAGTAAGTTGTAGCACTCTGCTCACAAAACCCAAGTGCTCTGTAGCAAGACATCTCGATAAGGCCAGAATCATTTATGTCAGCATGAACCAAAAAGTTGGCTTTTAAAGAAGTGACTCAAGTTTTGCCACTAATGCTGGATCAGGAAGCCTCTTAAGGGAACCTCACTTTTGATCACTGCCATCAAACAGAGCCTATTGAGAAATCATGGCTACCAAGAAGCTGTTCTTAAGTCTGTTCTTTTGTGTCTAGAATTCCTTCCCAAGGACTCTCAGTTTTTATGTGGATGTAATAGCCCCTTGTTGGTGCACCATTTTATAGATGGAGGCTGTTTTTTTCATTTTCTGGTCACCTAAAACCCAAATAATTATACAGAATCTATATTAATTCCAACACTATTTGGCCAATAGCTTAGTCATATTTATAGCTAGTTCTTTTTTTTTTTTAATTTATTTATTTATTAAGGATTTCTGCCTCCTCCCCGCAACCACCTCCCATTTCCATCCCCCTCCCCCGATCAAGTCCCCCTCCCTCATCTGCTCGAAGAGCAATCAGGGTTCCCTGGCCTGTGGGAAGCCCAAGGATCGCCCACCTCTATCCAGGTCTAGTAAGGTGAGCATCCAAACTGCCTAGGCTCCCCCAAAGCCAGTACGTGCAGTAGGATCAAAACCCACTGCGTTTGTTCTTGAGTTCTCAGTATTCCTCATTGTCCACTATGTTCAGCTAGTCTGGATTTATCCCATGCTTTTTCAGACCCAGGCCAGCTGGCCTTGGTGAGTTTCTGATAGAACATCCCCATTGTCTCAGTGTGTGGGTAAAATTAACCCATTTCTGTTAATCTGTACATCACCATGAGGCTGTGGCTTACCAGGCAGCTACAGGCATTCACTTGATTCTGCCTACTCTCTCTATATATCTCTTACAGCCTCTCTATATTCTGCTCTGCCATAGGCAAAAACAGCTTTATTCATTAAGCAATAAAAACAACACATGCACAGGTCAACGCACATCACAAGTGGAAGGTTAAGTCAGCAACATGCTTGTTTGAGAATATAAGCACCTAGATTTTTCCTAGAAAAATAATTAAAAACAAAGCATTCTTCCTTTAGCGTGCAATCTCATATTTGGAGTCAGAACAGTAAAAGAAACGTCTCTGCATTTTATTGTCTAGGTAGCCTAGATATTTTTATCACGTTTCACTCTATGAGAAACATCTTGTCAACTGATGCAGAAGTAAAACACCTCTTCATTGAATCAGATTTTTGATGGATATTTAAGGACACTTGCACTCATGAAATCCAAACAGTTGGGACTGCATGCAATATTCTTTAAAAGGATAGTAACAGCCCAACTTCCCAGATGGCTGGAGGAAGAACTCATGAAACCTTACACTATTAAGGTGCTTATTTCTTTTAATAAGCTGATGTTGAGAAGAGAGTATGATTTATTCTGGAATGCATTTCCAGAGAGTCTACCCATATTCCAGTAGGTGGTGCAATATCCATAACACACAGATAACATGAATGAACTCAACTGCTATTAAGGAAAAGAAAAAGTATAAGAAGTTTAGTTGTAATAGTGATAGTGGTGTTTTGATTAGAATTATAGTGTAGGGAATATTTAAGATTTTCCTGAAGGTGAAATATTCATGTATTATTATTGAATAAAAATATTTTATGAATAATAATTATACCTTAAGAACAATAATATAACTAGATCTAATGTCAGCACTTTATTGCACCACCACATAGAACATATGTAGACATAAAACCTTGAAAATATTCATATTTGAATAATTTCATTCCTAAAATGAATACCTCTTAATTTTTTTCTGTATTATGATAACACTATGTGGTATTCTATGCTAATCGAATATTTCTGAAGCTAGGCTTGAATACAAAATTTTCTTTTACAATTAGAATCTCTTTTTAATGGCACAATAATAGACATTAATATATGTACTATCTATTGTTATAATTCAATCAAATTAGCTCTTGGAGAAGTTGACACATCAAAATGCAGAGTTTGGAGCAAATTAAACATAATGTCCCAGACATAAACAAGAGGCTTTCTTGTATACAGCAAGAGTCTAAGTCCAGGCAACCAGATACATACCCTGCCCCTAGATACCACTGGCTGGCTTAGCGTATGGTAAAGTGTAGCAAAAACTCAGTGTAAATTACAATTTTCCTGTCTTTCTCCTTTCACTTTCTTTGCCTCTGCTTTAATAGATGTGGCTAAGGGAGAGTCAGTTAAAAACAAAACAAACAAATCAAAAACAAAAACAGCCCTGATGGTTCTCTCCCACAAAACAGCAGGCTTTTGACTCCCTATTTTAGGATTGATATCTCTCTTCTACTTGACCCTTACTCCAATCCTTATTAGAATGAAGACAGAGGTAACAAGTAGGAATTTAATTCTTTGTACAAAGGTTTTAACAGTTAGGCTTTAGGCTGGGGTTGAGCTCTTTGCTAGTTCAAAGCTGTAATCAGGACTTTTACTACAAGATGCTCAGCAGAGGAGGAATGAATGCTCTGAGAATTGCGGGAGAAAGAGGCAATGGAAACTCAGTCCAAGTAGGGACGTACTGGCATTCACTATGGTCCTACTGAGTCACATGCTTTAATTTTGTGCAGAATGTGCTCATGTATCTGAGGCCACTAAGTTTGATTAGAATTCTGTCATTCCTGCCTCAATCCTCCATCATCTGTAGGCATAGTAGTTTACGTTAGCTTTTAATACCTGACAGAAAACAGAGGTATGCTGTTAGTAAAAGTAGTTTGGGGCAAAGTTTATGAGAGTATTTGCTCTGAATTAAAACCTTTCCCTTGGTGGAACAATATTTTAATGTTTCCGATGATTTATTAATTTACATGGTACAGGAGACTTACTAATTTGAAGCAGCTTAATTCCTTTGTTTCATTTATATAAACGGTTAATGATTCATGGGGGAAAGGTGACTGTTTATATACTTTTATTTGTTGGCCTGTATCAAAGGAATAGACCTCTCTTCATATCTCTGTAGGAAAATGTAAATATCAGGAATGGATATTTAGTTCCATATAAAATTTCTGTTTGTTTTCTTTATGCATAAGTCATATTTTCACTAGAATGAAAGATTGGAATATCTAGAGTATTGTTATAGATACTTTTGTCTCCAAAGTTACTAAAGCCCAAGCAACCATGAGCACACCTCCTGTTTTTTAAGTACATTTCCGATTACAGTAGACCACCGTTTTCTTTCCTCTAAAGCCTGTATCTTTAGGAAAGATCAGAAAACAAATCCCACAAGCAGAATAGAGAGGTTGGAAATAAGACCAGATGCATGCTCTACATCGACATATATATATCAGAGGCCAGGCCCCAATGGGCGGGTAACCACTAGCTGTAAGACTTCCCACAACACCACCCCCTTTTGTTTAAATAAGAGGGTTCTAAGCCTAATGCAAAATTATGTACTATAAAAACAAATATATTTAATTATTATCCTATCCCAGCTAATTTAAATCTTGTGTATAATAAATAATTTGGCCAAGTTATGAGAGGAAAGCAACTACAACTACCTATTCTTTAACCCCACATAAGATCTGAGAAGGGAAATAATATTACTTGAGTAAGCAGGAATTGCAATCAAGCAACTCCACAATGTGCAACAAATGACAGAGACAACTGGCTACCTGGGCAATCACTCAAAGTCTCATTTGCAACAATGAAGCAACCAAATTTGGCTAAGACCTAGAATAACTGACATACCATTTTCAGAGGCAGGGAAGTTTTCAAAACCATCTTATTCTGTCTTGACAAGATTTGACAGTCTTGCTTATTCATTTTCAGATAGGCAACATATGATTTTCAATGGTATTAATCCTCTCAACAAGCTGTTCATTATTAGTCTGTAAAGACTGTATCATTTCAAAAAGTGCCACAGTCTTTCTTAATTATAGAATATGGAGAAGAAAACTGAATCCCAATACCCAATAAATTGAAGTATCACCATGAACATATAAGCCTTACATAATACAATCCATAGTATTAGCTAAAAATTACTAAATTTTCAATATTAATATAATCTGCCATATTGATTTATTAATTACCTGTTGCAAGATACGGTAAATTGTTTTAGGTGTAATAATTTTTATTGTCTGAAGATGTTGTGGTTTAAGATTCGCATTGGTGACAGGGATGGTCTGATTTTTTTGTTTTTGTTTTTTTTTTTTTTTTTGAAACAGCAACACGTCTTTTAATAATTAAACAAATGCTGCAGAAACAAATACACACACCTTCTCAGTTAAATACTCCACAGAATGAGAAAATGTAACAATTTTTGCCCAGTTAAAATAATATTCCACAACAGTCACCCCCTCTGAGGTTTTTCTTCTTCACCACCTATCAGCATTCTTATCCACCTAAGCCTGCTGTATCAGTGAAAATTACTAAAGAGCTAATATGGTGAGTATCCTGCTCACCATCCCCTCCTCTTCTAATTTTCAATGCTAGATACTGAATTTATTCTTATTACTTGACTTGTCTAGAATGCCCCTCCACGACAGGGATGGTCTTGAACCGTTTTAGTTTCTGAGCGCTTTAGTTTCCAGCCTTGGTACTGGTTAAATACTGAGAAATGTGCTTTGCTTGACAAATTAAAAACAATTAAATTAATTCCATACATGGAGCAAGAAACCCAGAACTCACAGGCAGGAAGCAGAAACCAGAAGCTGAACAAGTCACCACACAGCAAGGAACCACCTTAGGGAATGCAGCAGTTGTGCGTGTGCTTGGGAAATTTTCAGTTCCCACACATAGTAAACTCTGCTGTGGCAGGGATTCTACACAAAAACAGCTTAGCTAAAAGCAAGCCAACTGGACAGGGTTGAGAGACTATCTGGGCTGTGGACTAAGCCATTAGGCCATTCACCTGGTAGGTGTGGAGTCTGAATCCACATGGGCGCCAAATGTGGATGGATGCTTAAAAGAAATTCCACACTAGCTCAGAATTGAGAAATAGATGGTTTTTTATTTAGGGGTAGACTCACTAATCAGAATGTCTTTTTTGAACGAGATCAGAAAACGAATCCTGTAACTGGAAGAGAGAGGCCAGAAAAGAGGCTGAAAGCATGCTTTGTATTGGCATACATAGTATAAGAGGCCACATCCCAGTGGGTCGGTAACCACTAGCTGTAAGACTTCCTACAGCACTCAATGGTCAATCTTCCAGGCCAGGCATTGGTAACACACACACACATTTAATCCCAGTAACCATACTAGTTTGCCCTAGAAACCGGGTGGTAAATGCTTTTAATCCCAGTTGTGCAGGCATTTGATTCCAGAACTAAAGAGGAATATAAGACGGTAAGAGACAACTTACAGACACAGTCTCTAACATTTCCTGGAGGCAGTATTACTATGAGGTTTAACATGAGGGCCTGCTTGCTGGGGTTTCTGTTCTCCCACCACCAGGTCCCACAGCTGTTTGACCCCAAAGATAATCACACAGAGGTCTACATAAGTTATAAACTGAATGGTGGTTCAGGACAATTCTATATTCTGTCAATTATGTTTTAAATAATCGCTGATTTGGCCGGTAGCCAGGCAGGAAGACTAGGCGGGAAAACCAGACAGGAAGTAGAAGTGGGGCAATGAGAACAAGAGTATTCTGGAGTATTCAAATGGTTTCACTATAAATTTAGAGAGACATTTCCCCAGTTAGAAGTTTTATATGTAGAGGACCTACATTAGACCCTGACAGGCTCTCTGATCTCTGTGAGCCTCCATGAGTTCCAGGCCACTGCTTCAGTGTGCCATGTTCTTACAGTGTCTCTGACTCCTGGGTTTCCAACAGTCTTTCCCTCACCTTTTGCACAGGACTCCCCAAGCTCCGCCTAATGTTTTCCTATGGAACTCTGCATCTATTCCCCTTGCTTCAGGAAATTAAACAGAATTAGATTCTTCTCCATATTCCATAATCACCACAGCTATGGGTAATTGGTTTGTTTTGCAGTAATATGCATATATTATCTCTTTGATTATTATATAGGTTTCAGTTATTTACCAGAGATGTAAATGCTCAGGTGTGTCTTTGTGATACAGGTCATTGACATCATAATGAGGGTTAAGATATTGGAAATGATAATATCTAAGAAAGCTGGGAAAATCATGTAGTTTACTGAAAAGTTTTGTAGCACAGCTCCCATGTTTAAAATAACATACCATGATGGTAAGTAGTTGAAGAAATTTTAACCTGAATGTTATAGGAGAACCTCTCTACTTAGCAAGGTTTTTCCTTGAAGAGACCCTTTATCATCGATAGCTGAGATAGACATCTGCATCAAAAATTATTTGATGAATATTTCAACACAGTTTGACAAAGGCTATCAACAAATGGTGTTGCATAAACAGCTCTCACAACAGAGCCAGCAAGCAAAAATTCTAGTATGGGAGGAAGAAGGACTTTTGCACCCCTACCTAACTGAAAAGCTGTTGTCATCTGATTGGTTGATGGAAGAAAGAGGGTGTGGTTTCTTCAGGTATTCTTTCCATGATAGGCTACACTTGTTCTAGTAGATGGCCCCATACACACACACACACACGCACACACACACACACACACACACACACACACACACACAAGTACCTTAAATGAACTCACTTTGTGTTAAAGTTAGAGAATGCATATTGTAATATTATACCTCTTATCATAATAAATTCTAATTTGGGACTTCTTATAAAGCATATGTCTAATAATAGAATAAATTTTACTTAACATGTGTTGAACTTGTAAGTTTTGCTAATAGGTTGGATGTAATAATTCTTTCCTCAAATCAATGTTTAACTTTGAGGTTATTAGAAATTTTATTGGATTTATTATAAATATTAATGGAACACCTCATAATTTAGAATACTTTCATATAGGTTGTCAAAATCCCACATCATTTCATGAGTTTTATTTTAGCATCCTTAGAAGAATTTCACTGTTTCTTTACTTATTTCTGAGCAGTTTGTGTTTTGTGTTAAGTTTAATTGCAAAATGTATATGCATATTACTTTTGGATTTGTAATTTAAAATGTACATAGGTTACATTTATTCAAGCGTTTTCATTAATTGCTAACCTGTACTTCTGAAACAGAGTCTCACTGTGCTGCTCTCTGCCATCACAAACTCTTCTCTTGAACCTCGCCTCCTCTCAGCATCTTGAAAAGTTCCCATCACGGATGTCAAACCCACACTCAGCTGACGGTATTGTAAAACCACTTCATTCTTTGATTTCAGTTTTGAGTTTTAAGTGTTTGTATAAACAATAAATCTCCAAACTTTATTTTCTTAATTACAATAGGTTTGGTAAACTTAAGGTTATATTTAACCATAGTTTAAATAATGTGTGTTTTCTATTCACAAGTGTTATCCATATGCTGTGAATAAGGCTCCTAACATTACCTTCCAGGTTTCAGGTTAGATGCTACAGCTTAGTGTGAGGGAATCGGAAAATTTCTTATCTGCCGGGTTACAGAATGAACTGATACGAGCTGTTAGAGTCATGTTCTTTTTCTGCAGGCTCTAATTTAACTCTGTAACTAGTTCTCTTTTGTTTCAATCATGTTCCATTTTTTTTTCTGTCCCTCTGTTCCTCTAGGCTAAATACACTTTTTTTTACAAGAGGTTGATGAAATAATAAATAATTACATCAGTTACATATCATTGGTCAAAGGCACATTTCTTTGTGTGAAAGATAAGGGCATTGATAAGCCTTTAATAATGGCAGCGCAATATTCTTGATTTGGTTTTTTTTATTATTTTTATTTATTTATTTATTAAAGGTTTCTGTCTCTTCCCCGCCACCGCCTTCCATATCCCTCCCCCTTCCCCAATCAACTCCCCCTCTCTCCTTGGCCTGAAGAGCAGACTGGGTTCCCTGCCCTGTGGGAAGTCCAAGGACCTCCCACCTCCTTCCAGGTCTTACTAGACCTGGAATTTTCTTGATTTGGGAAGCAAGATTGTTCCCAGAGGGCAGGGGCACAGTGTTCAGTGAGATATGCTTTGAGACATAGTTCTTTTATTAACTAGACTTGGCAGGCGAAGCATCAGCATGATATTTTTAGGTTGCTTTGTGTAAATAAGCTTGGTTAGACACCTACACTATGGCCATGTGCATAACTGTCAAGTTTTAAATTTATGATCTATTAAAAAAAAAGCCTCTAGTATAGTTAGACCTTGTTCTGAGCTAAAAATGAATTAATTGTGTGAAATTGTTTTAGATTGAGCGGAAAAAATTTTTTCTTATGTTATTCAAAGTAAAAGGAACAAAACAGACTTTTAACCATATTACTGCCTTTGTGGTGCAATAGATCTAGTTATGAAGTATATCCTAGTATAATTTCTATATATATCCATCTTAATGGGAAGTCATTTCCCTGACCATACACTATTATATGTGTGCCCAGTAGATGGAACATTTTGATGGGATAATCACACAGGAGGTGGAAAAACATTCCTAGGGAAGAAATGAAGTGACTCATGAGAGAAATTACAGACAGAGACAAAACATTATCTACAGCCAGTGACCTTGTGGACATGACAAGTGGGGGTCTCCATCAGAGTCACTCATCTGGGAGGTCTGCCTGCCGTCACCTGCTCTATCCGCCAATGGCCTCCAACAAAGGGTGATTCGCGTTACAAAATTTTTAAGATATTGTATTTGCATTAAACATAAAATATTCAATTCAGTAAATCACTCAGCATTTATTCTTCCTGATGAATTTCCCAAAGATGTCGTCTAAGAAAATGATCATTAGAGGTGACAACAAATGGAGTCCTAGCACTAGTTTTAAATTTGAGGATATTCTGAGACATTTAAGATTTGCATCTGTTGTATTTCCACTTAAAATTATGGAATTTAAGGTTGTTTGGTGTTTTATCAAGACAGAGTTTCTCTGTGTAACAGCCTTGGCTGTCCTGGAACTTGCTTTATAGACCAGGCTGGTCTCAAACTCAAAGAGACCTGCCTGCCTCTGCCTCCTAATTGCTACGATTAGTGGCACGTGCCACCAGCAACACCTGGTGAAATTTATTTTTTTCTAAATAATAATTGAATCTTTTTTGAAATCATAAGTGGATAGGCATTCTCTAGGAATATTTTCTGTGACCTTTGACATTCCTTATATTAATGTAATACTTTTCATGACCTCTTTATATATGCTAAACTAATCCTCCATCTTTAAATCATATTTGCTTTGTCACGGTATAAGATTTTTCTTTGTAGTTAATGTTTGGGCTTATCAGTATATACAACAATTGCAAAAAGCTTCTTGTTTAAGGATGATATAACACTTTCTGTTTACTTTCCCTTCTTGGTGTTGTACATTGTCTGGTTTGAACCTATGTAGACTTTCTGTGTATACAATGGACTCTTTACTTCCTATGTTTGATGGTAAAGTTGAGTTCTGAAACATTGTTTACTTGGTATCATGCACCACTTCTTGCTCTGCTACATTATTTATGCCTCCTTTTCAAGTTATATCTATGAGGCTAAATGTGAGGGGTTTGAGGAAGACATCGTTTTAGGACTTAGTACTCCAAAATATCTCTGTCTCTACAGATATCTCCCCTGAAGATCTCTCTGTTATTTGCCATCTAGTTTGAGAAGAATTATCTCTAATGAGAACCAAATGATGCACAGACAAAAGGGTACCTCAGTATGTGCTCACAACTCATTTCTATGTTCCTTCAGCAGAATATGAGAGATAGATTGGTGCATAAATCTGTGAACTCTCTAGTTGCATTTTATTGGCTACTTGGACATCGTGAGGTATGGGTTCCATCTCATGGAGTTGATCATAATTTTAATCAAAAGTTGTTGATGATTCTCATAGTATTTTTGCCACCATGGGAAAAGTATATCTTCTTGACTACTCATAATTGTTTGTTTCAGGATTTGTTGCTCATGATATGAAGGTTTTTTTTCTTTTTCCGGTAAGAAACAGCTTAACATTCTGCACTATTATATATATATATATATATATATATATATATATATATATATATATATATATTTAGTAGCACTGAAGCTTCTCTGTGCAAAGCACATGGATTTATTCTTTCTGATGGAAAAAGTAAGTAAAATCTTCAGCAACAGGGCCTTACCATCAGATTGTGCAGATTCAACTATAGTTTGAGGATGAACTGTGATGTCTGGATGGGGAAACTATTGGAATGTTCATGACCAAAATCTCAACCAAATTTTATTGTCACCTGAGATATCTTTAATAAAACTTCTTCATATAATATAGATATTTGTGGCTATATCTCTTGAAATACAGTCAATTTCTCTCATATGTATATATATATATACGTATATGTATTTGTGTATATGTATGTATAAACCAAAAAAACTTCCAGATGCACAGACACATGAGTATGTATATATATATATATATATATATATATGTGTGTGTGTGTGTGTGTGTGTGTGTGTGTGTGCTTTTGGTTTACTTGAGAGTTTCATACATGAGTACTGTATTTATATTATTTTCGCACTTCTTTCTCCTATCTCCTGCACATACCTGCTCCATTAATTATCAAAATGTTTACCACTTCTTATTAAGTATTATTCTTACACATGCATCTGGATATGTCCCCAATTCATGCTGTGTATATTGTGTGCTGATTACACATAACTGTGGTTAGGACTGACCCCTTTGAATGGTTTTTACACAGAATGCTTATTCTCCCTCTCTTGGCATCCATCATTTGCATTCAACTTTACAAAATATGGTAATCTTGACTGATTTTCCCATTTGTGCGATCATCACAACTTAAAGTGTCATTGTTCCAAACCCTTTTTCGTACTTTGGAAATTTTCGGTGTGGAGCTTCTGTTCTGTTTTAGAACTCACTTTGTCAGGGCAAATGGGCTATTCCTTTGGATCTTTTGGTGTGTCTGTCCATCATATGCTATCTTTTCTGCATCTAGTAATAATGACTTGTATGAATTCATTAATTTGTTTTATTCACCACTGTCAGTTATTGCTTGTAGTTTCAACAGTTGTAGACTTGTCTGATGGTGCTGAAAAATATAGACCTTTGCCGATGGTGGCAATTAAACTTGTTTTGGGGTAGAAAAATAGATTTTATTTTTAGAATACAGTTAAAGTTTAAGGTTTCATGCAAGTAGCAGATAACATTTCTCCTCTCAGTTCATGATATCTCCTGCCATTTGTAATAGACTGAAATTGCTGTATTGGGTACAGTTTATATCCCTAGCAATGATATAGCTCTGCATTACTTACAAAAGATACAGGGACAAATTCAGGCATGACTTTGATAACTAAGTGGATAATATGCTAATAAAGGCTAAGTTTTGATAACTCTATTATTTGAAAAGTTAGCCCAATTTTGAATTTTTTTGAATCTATTGTAGTACTGTAAACTCTAGGGTTTACATTACCACAACATTGTAATAATGAATAAAAAGAAAAACAATGTGAATGACATCACAGGTTGTCTCTACGACCCTAATATTGTAAGAAACTCTTTAAACAATCATATTGTAAGTTGAATGCAGAAAACAGAATACTTTGATAGAAATCAGTGAATTTATACGAGCAGAATCCTCTGTATTTCTCTAATTCCATTATATATATTCACAAAACACAAAAGACCATTAGAGACCTTCTTAATTTCCTCAGGTGTCAATCAAAGTCTCAGATAACAAATGTTGAAACTTGTGGAAGAGAGAGGCTAGAATCACAGTTAAGGAGGAAGTACTGTATAGAGTTACATAGTATGAACATTAATATTGTCTTTGACTTATAATAATTATGTTGTTCTTTGAATTTTTGTTATAGTATGCACAACCTTTTCGTTTGTTCAGTCAGCAACATACTGGCTTGGAAATAAGTATACCTGAGGACTATTTCTACAATGTAAAATTAAAAGCCAAGAATATGCTTTTACCATGCAAAAAGACGTGAGAGAGGAATGGGTACAGTAATATCTCAGTTTTAGTGGTCATCTTGAATAACAGTTTTGAAAATTCCCTACCTGTGAGAACATTATGTCAATCTTCCAGTGCTCATGTGTATCTGCATTGAACCAGTATTTGATGATTTTAAACACAGTTTTATTCATGAATTTGTATCAGCTGAGTTTACCTGCATAGTTCTTTAAAATCCCAGCCAAAATTCTACTATATCCTGAGAAAGAATCATCAAGCCAAAACACTATAAGGGTGGCTAATATTATTTAATGATCTGATCAAAGAGGAGATGCAGATTTTCTTAAGTTTACTAGCTACTCATGTGCTAGAAGGCAGTCTCATATTCATGCACAAAAAGATGCCTTAATTTGTTAATAAATCAGAATAAATATATAAACTTCAGATGGGAGAGTGATAGTGGTGATGGTAGAAAATTTCTACTGAAGAAAATGGGGTGGATATCCTCAAATATTACGTATGAATATACTCTTTCTGAAAACAATATTTTATGAATATAAATTCCACCAGAGAAAGAAAATTAAATGCAGACTAAAGTACAACCACACATAAATTCTGACATACAAAAAATTAATTGTAGAGAGCATATACATGCATATATATATATATATATATATATATATATATATATAATCTTTCTAAGAAAATACATTTTAACTTATTTCATTGTTATTAGCTGGACAATTGTGGCACTTGACTTTAACTCCAGCCCTTGGGTGGCAGAGGCAGGAGAATCTTCTGAGGTCAAGGTCAGTCTTTTGTACACGTTAGGCAGGGATATTCAAAGAAACCCTATCTTATAAACACACACACACACACACACACACACACACAATTTTCTTTATTTTTAATACAAGGTGAAATTTTGCATCCAAATTTGGTATATTTGTAGCTGGGCTTAAAAATAGGATTGCATTTTACAATATAGGACATGAGTAGGCATAAATATATTGTGTAGTGCTAAAATTCAAGCATATAAACATTGCACTTGAGGAAACTAACATGGGCAGATCATAAAGACTCAGCAGTAAGCTGCACTTGGCAGGCCAGTGTCAAAATCCAAAAGGTTCAGACAGAAGGGAAGCCTTTCTTGTAGATAGCCAGAATGCAGGCCTACACATCTGGAAACATGATCACCAATAGGTACCACTGGGTGGTTTTGTCTATTGTAAACTTGACCCAGAGGCAAGGTTAACTTACATTTTGTCTAATCACCCACATTCTGTTTTGCTGCATCTGAAACAACATGCATTTAGGTGGAGCAGATGCAAGGAGAGTTAATAATTTTTTTTAGCAGAACAAGATCTTTCCAGTCGGTCTCTGGCTATATTCCAGGGTCTCTGTTGACCCAGAGTATAACCAAAGACAGACTTTACATTCATTGAGGAAAGCAGACTGCTTCTAACATCGACAGAATACAGACAACACGGATATGAGCAAAGATGGGGGAAGTCATCTGCTTTTGTGTCCTGTGTTAAGAAGTAGGATCCTGCTTCTGAAGCTACTTCTTCTATTTTAAGATGTGACATCCCTGTCTCAGTCTTGAAGTGATTCATCACCTGTAAGAAAGATAATCCATTTCAGACTTTAGTATGTGACAGAGACTAGGGGATTTAGCAAAACATCCACTGTGGGAATTGCTATGGAATTGATAGCTCTCACCTGTATTACAGACTGAAATTTTAGAGCTGTAATATGTTTTCAGCTAGGTGTGGGAAGTTGAGATAATGTTACTCCGTTTTTTTTGCATGATTTTGGTGTAATTGTGATAATTATTTTTTGTTATTAAGTATTTTGAAATTTTGAACTTGTGGCACTCCTTAACCTTATTGAAAACATATTTGTCACAGCAGGTATTATAATTGTAGGATCTTATACAGTGTCTAACCATTTTATGCAATATTTTTTCAGTAAGGATGATGATGAGT